GATGGTAATGGACAGCGTTAAGGTTGGAATGAAGTCCCCTGATGTTGCAAAAATTCACGGATAGCGTGACAGGGGTCGCCTTGGTTGTATTGCTCCGCTTGCCCCGAGCAGCATTAGTCACGAGCGGAATTTTGCCCCCCCCAGAATACGCGGGGCAGCCTGAGCACCCACGCTCAGGAGTGAAGTAGTTTGGTCGTGGATGCTCAGCGAAGGATTCTCCAGAGGTGCTGGTACCCTCCTGGGGTAGTCTTGTATTTAATTCCACTACCATGTTGATAGGGGCGGGGGGGGATTGGGCCTCCGGCCACCTGCACTCACCAAGCGCAACGCAGAGGTAAACCTCTACTTCACGCTGGTATTCTGTGAGGTCGTGGTACCACCCCGGTTCGAGCTGGCCCATCCGTGCGACAGCAAAAGCTACCGCTTAGCTCTACCACTGTAAAAATATGTTACTGTGTTATATATTTATGTTAGTGTAGTGTATTATATGCGCGTGTGTGTGTGTGTGTGTGTGTGTGTGTGTGTGTGTGTGTGTGTGTGTGCGTGTGTGCGTGTGTGCGTGCGTACGTGCGTGCGTGCGTGAGTGCGTGCGTGCGTGTGTGTGTGTGTGTGCGCGTTTGCGCGTGCGCGTGCGTGTTTGTGTGTGTGTGTGTGTATGTGTGTCTGTGTGAGTGTGTAGGTGCGTGCGTGCGTGCGTGCGTTTGTGCGTGCGTTTGTGCGTGCGTGCGTGCGTGCGTGCGTGCGTGCTTGCGTTGTGTGTGTGAGTGGGTGCGTGCTTACGTGCGTGCGTGCGTGCGTGCTTGCGTTTGTGCGTGCGTGCGTGCGTGTGTGCGTGCGTGCGTGCGTGCGTGCGTGTGTGCGTGCGTGCGTGCGTGCGTTTGTGCGTGCGTGCGTGCGTGCGTGCGTGCGTGCGTGCGTGCATGTTTGCGTGCGTGCGTGCGTGAAAAATGCAGGTAGAAACAATGTCAAACGCCTTGGCGTGATCCCCAAAAATTTCAATGACTTTGTAATTTTTAACTACGTAATCTGTTAAGTCATGCACTGCTTCATCAGTGGATCTGCCCTGCCGAAAACCAAACTGGTTAGGGGATAGAAGTTTTTTACTTTCTCAGTAGTTCGTGAGTTGTTTGTTTATAATTCGTTCTATTATTTTCGAAAAACATGGAAGAATTGAAATAGGTCGATAGTTGCACACTTTCATTAAAGCAAAAATTACATATATATGTCAATGGTCCAACAATATATTCTTTATTTTTTTTTATAAAACAGTTAGAGATATTGTCCCATCTATTAGCACATTTGTATTTTAGGCTCATGATGAGTCTGGAAACTTCTTCTTCTTCGTCAGTGTTGAGTATTACAAAGGACGACGTACAGTTCTGTGTTGATCTAATTGCTAAAGAACTTATAACCCTTTCCTTAACTGCAATATTATCAGCAAGCTGTTTACCTACATTCACAAAATAATTATTAATTGAATTGATAGCCTCTTGAGGTTTCTTGGCGCTGTTAAGCAGTTCAGTAGAATCAGTTTTCATTTTCGTGGTATCTCTTTAATGGTTTCCCAAAGCTTTTTATTATCTTTACCTGCTTTACTAATTTTATCTCTATAATAAGATATTTTAACTTTTTTAATCATGGAGTTACAATAAGTTCGATATCTTGTGTATGTTAATTTTATGATATTATTGCCAGGAAAAGATTTATATTTTTTAAATAAATTATCACGATTTCGTATACATTATATCGGTATATTTACGAGTACGAGTTCTACCGTGGCACCAGTGCTGTCAAAACAGCTCGAAAGATTAATGATGTGTACGGAGCTGGTGTCACAAAAGAAAGCACGGTACGGTTTTGGTTTCAACGTTTTCGTTTTGGAAATTTCGACCTTCGGAACCAACCCCGTGGACGGCAGGAGACCAAAGTGGAAAATGAAGAATGAAAGGCTATCGTGGAAGCGGATCCACGCAAAGCACTTCAGAGATAGCTGCTGACTTCGAGATAAGTGATAAAACTGTATTGATCCACTTGAAACAAATCGGCAAAATAAAAAAATCTTGAACAATAGGAGCCTCATGAATTGAGTGAATCGAACTTGCAAACACGCGTCGACTGCTGTGTTACTTTGCTCAACCGATACAATAATGGAGGGATTTTAAATCGAATCATTACTTGTCATGAAAAGTGGATACTGTACGATAATCGGAAGCGCTCATTGCAATGGCTGAACCCTGGACACCCAGCCAAATCCTGCCCTAAACGAAAATTGATTCAGAAAAAGTTACTTGTGAGTGTTTGGTGGACCAGCACCGGTGTCGTTCACTACAGCTTTCTAAAATCTGGCCAAACGATTATGGCAGATATCTATTGTCAGCAAATGCAAACCATAAAGGAAGAACCAGCTGCTAAACAACCGAGATTGGTCAATCACTCTAGGCCACTGCTGCTTCACGACAACGCAAGACCACACACTGCACAACAAACAACCACTAAGTTAGATGAGCTACAATTGGAATATCTGCGACATCCACCATACTCCCCGGACCTTGCTCCAACAGATTACGGATTTTTTTCGGAATTCGGACAACTTCTTACAAGGAAAAAATTCAACTTTGATGCGGCAGTCCAAACCGCCTTCAATGAATTTATTGATTCTCGCCCCCATGGTTTTTTTAGTAAAGTGATCAATGAACTACCTGTGAGATGGCAAAAGTGCATAGATAACAACGGTGCATACTTTGATTAATTATATATTGTACAAAAAAAATTGACTACATATTCCTCCCGTACAAAACGCCAATTTCACATGACAGTACCTAATATATATATTATGAATACAGTTTAATTATAGACTTTGTAAAAACTATATAAACATACATGTCTAAATATTATATCTAACATTATATTAGAGCCTCTGACTTCGAAACTAAAATAATCGAAGTAATTCGTAAAATAAATGTTGCACCGATGCTACAGTTTTCGGTTATATTTCGTTTGTCGTTTGCGCATTCAATAGCAAACCATTACCACTGATAAAAACACATAAATGATGAAAACGGTTTTCAATAACGATATGAAAGCTCAATATCGGTTATGTAACCGTTGCAGCCAAAAACTGAAAACGCCCATGCTTATTACTACGTTTAGTCAGAACCGAACAGAATTATTAAATATATTTTTAATGCATGGGAGAATTCACATGATGCTTTGGGTATATTCTGTGACTTATCCAAGGCCTTCGATTGTGTTCACCATGAAACATTAATCAGGAAACTTCAACACTACGGTGTAAGAAAGGATGCTCTTAAATTAATTATTTCTTATTTAAGTAAGAGAACGCAAAAAGTTGTCATTAACAATATGAGTTCTTATGGATCGATGGTACAAATGGGCGTGCCTCAAGACTCAATTCTCGGCCCCTTTCTGTGTCTTGTATACAATAATGACTTACCTTACATAGTAGGGGATAACCATGATAGAGTATTATTTGCTGATGACACTTCTTTAATTTTCAAATCAAGACGACAATTACTAAAATATGACGAAGTAAATAATGCTATATCTAAATAAGTAAATTCCTTCAATGTTAATAATTTGCATTTAAATGACACTAAAACGAAATGTATGAAATTCATAACTCCAAATGTCAAAGAATTAAATACTAATGTAATTTTAAATAGGGAGAAACTGAGTCTTGTAGATACCACCATTTTGCTTAAGATCACACTAGACGCGAAGCTTCAATGGAGCCCCCATATATCAAAACTAGCAAGCAGACTTAGTATATGCTGTAAAAAGATTAGAAATCTCACCAGTGTTGAAACAACTAGACTAGTTTACTTAAGCTATTTCCATATCATATCATCATTTTGTATTTTGATATGGGGACACGCAGCTGACACTGAAATTATATTTGTTTTACAATAGAGGGCCATAAGAGAAATTTATGATTTAAAGGCTAAAGAAACGCTGCGACAAAAATTTAAGGAAATTAATATGTTAACTTTGGCCTCTCAATACATTTATGAAAATGTTATGTACGTACACAAAAATAAAAGTAGTTTTACAAAAATAAGTGATATTCATTCTGTAAATATTAGGAACAGATACAAGCTAGTAGTACCAATTCTTGTAAACAATGATTTAGTCAGTAATTCATTGTTGGCACAATGTATACGCTTTTACAACAAAATGCCAGAAAATATACAAAAATTGACCTGCAAAAGTTCACAAACTTTATTAAACTAAGTTTGTATGAAAAGGGTTATTATAATATTAAAGAATTTATGGATGATAATAACCCCTGGAAATGAGGTGATCGCTACCAAAATATTTCTAATTTGTTGTGTTGTTGATTGTGTTTTTTTCGAACCAATGGTAATTAAACAAAAAAGTGACTTTCAATATGTATTATTTATAATATAAATTGAATAAAAAAGTTTCTGTTTCTGTTTCAATGCTTACTGCATTGAAAGCGTTACATGTCAACATGATCTTACAAACATGGAATGATGTTAAACATGACCTGTAGCCGTTGCATACATTTTTTTATGGAAGTTGCCCCAGCCTGGACAGGTTTACGCCCTTTAAAATTTCACCGAGGCCTGCGAGCTGAAACCACAACATAACAGACGACAATACTGCGGTCTGCGACTCGTTGCTGACAACAACTGCAGTCCAAACCTTACACCTTTGAGCAACAAAGAGAAGGGGGCGCTCATTGCCATTCAAGTGTGCCCTAGAAAGGGATGTGTGTAATAAATACTATTTATATAAGTAGTTATTAAAGAAGACCGACAACGATGGCAATTCAAGTGCAAGATATCTTGTACTATGAATGTTATATGTATGTATGTTATATAGAATGTATGTATGTTATAAGGTGGTTATGAGAGAGGTAGATTGCGTAGTTCACTACTTCACCTCACCGGCTGGTTATTGTTCTAGTTATGTTTTAATAACAATTCATTAAACTTAATTATTTACTTTATTTTTAGAGGCTGTTGGGCATTTGCTGTGTTTTTAAGCATCATATGCGCCGTATTTTTCGTCATAACAGCTTATAAATGGTACGCCACGAACCCTATTGTCACGGTAAGTACTCAATTAGGTTTTTTATTTGCTCAAAGTATAAAAAATAGACTTAGTTTATCGGATGTACGGTAATGAATAGATAACCTTGAAGTGGTTTAAATATAACTACGTGAAACGTTCCAAACAATAAAAAGATATATATATATATGATATTATTATATATTCAAGTGAGATTTTTTGAATAGGCTAAATTTATTACCGCATTTTACATTTATCTAAACTATGAAAGCTAAATTATCCCATTCTCTTATACGTTTTATAACGTCATGTATTTTTATCATGTTTGATATTCTAGGTCATAGAGAGCACACAAGGAGCAATCTGGGATATACCGTTTCCAGCTGTGACCATCTGTGATCTAAATCTAATTTCTCATAGAGCAGCGGTCTCCTTCGTTAGCAATCTGTAAGAAAGTATTGTCTTATTATTTCGGCCAATAGGAGTACTAACCCTAAAAGCTCTTAAAATTAACTTATCAATCCCATACCGGTAATGGTAATAAAACGTAGTGATTGTAAACTCTTGAGCGCATTGCGTTAAAGCGGGGCTTTTCAAATACTCTTACTCCCCGGCCAATGCCGAGGTAATAAACTCAAATACAAATTGCAAATAAAAATGTATTTACATTCGATTAGATTTTTTTATGGTCGAGTTTTCTGAAGTATAGTTATTTTTATACGTTTGAATACCGATTCTAATAACGCACTAAGCGCGAAAGACAGGGTTTTTGTTACATGATTTTTTTGCTTTGCGTCCAGTGTTGAGTACATGTGTAGTGATTTGTAAAATAAGAAAGCACGTATACTGGCTATAACGAATTTAATCTAATATTCATGTTGTGACAAAAAGATATTTCGTATTTTTTAGGTCACTACCAGCTGAAATAAACGAAGACATTATCTTGAAAGCATTGCGTTTTGCTCCATTAATTCATACCTCCAACGTTGTTACAAGTGAACAGAAAAAAGATCTGCTAATGCTGCAAGACATCTTGGATTTAAATAATATTACTATTGATTCATTATTTTACCAGGTAAGTTGTCGTGTAATCTATACTATACATATACGTTGAAAAGTTTCCATAATAAAAATACAAGACATTTTTTCTTTAAATTTATTTTTATTTTTCTACATAGTCTCCTTGTGACTATAGATACTTCTCCCAGCGATACTCCCATCTCTGTAACCCGACCAAATAGTACTCGGTGTTTTTTCAATTTAAAATCGTATTTCATAATATTTTAAAAATTGTCACTGTTTCTTTTACTGGCTTTACGGCTCTGGGTTCTAGCCCTTTTGAGAATGTCACTGTACGACACAAAGTATTTTAAATAGTGTTGCCATGACATTAAATGGAATTGTTATATAGTACTATGATTGAGATAATGTAGGAAGTTCTTTGTAGGAGACTTATTTTCAACCACATCACTTTTATTTTTATTATTCCTGATAGTATAGTTATTACTAATAATAACTTCATATTAAAATATTTTGTGTTTGTGTGTTGTGTTGGTAGTCTTACAAAGTGTATACGAAAATAGTATGAATATAGTAAATGGCAACACTTGAATAGAGTAAAATGATTAAAGTCATTTGATATTTTCCCAAAAATGTTTGTTTTTTTCTGTAGCTATAATTAAAATACATTTTTATTTGAAAAATCATAGAAAAATAATAAAACTCATTTTATATATAACTTATTTGTAGACGCAATAATTTTTGTCACCAATTTTTCTGCCATTGTTCTTTGCAGAGAATGTTCAGACTCGCTCCGTCCTTCTTGTAGTTTGAGCAGAGAGATTTGATGTTATTAAAGCATTGTAGTTGAAGATCCAACATTTTTGTGATGTAGTTTTGCTTGGTACACTAAGTTAGTAGTAAAGTTAGTTAGTGAAGTAGCTGACCCGTAGTGTACGGTGATGCTCGGTGACAGTCGTTTCTGGTTGACCCGATCCGCAACACCAGATAAGTTGTAGTTATATAGTTGTAATTATCCCGTAGTTCACGGCAATAAGTAAGTTGAAGTAGGTTATCTCTTGGATTGTCCCGCAGTTTGCGGCGACAGGTGAGTTAGTTTAGTTAGCTCGTAGACTGTCTTGTACTTACACAGTAGTGGCGAGTCGCGCTGGTTGGTGCACGACCCGAAGGGAACAAATTTTTTCGCAGCTTCCTTCTCCAGCTTTCAAATTTCTCCGTCTTGGAAATGATCGTGGTGAGACTACGAGTGTAATTGCCCTCCGCGAGCGATCCGTTTCTGGGAGGCCGATGAACCGATCGCTACCGCAAAGAGACAAATACTCTTTTCTCGAAGGACCATAAAATGTATGGTTTGTAAGGCCACACACTTTCAAGAAATAGAGAGTAAATCTTTTCTTGAGTAGTTGGTGTTTAGAAGGACGGTTGTCGACGTACTGCCGATTGTGAGATTGCAATTAATTAAGTAAATTTAAATACACGCGACGCGCGGCTAAAAGTAGATGGCATTTACTAAATAAAAATGTGTGGTGTAACCATACAGTCTGCGTCTACGAAAATAATGGCTGATTTCATATTGATTACATGAAAATAAAATATTCATTGGTAGCTTGTATCCCACACAAGACAAAAGTGTCTAGGTTTGCGCAGCGCCTAAATGTAATTTTCTTACTTTTATCCGACAAAGGCAATGCAAAGAAGCGGGTTGTTTCTTGCTCCTCACGTTTATATTACTCATAGGCGAAATAGCTCTTACCAATTATAACTATGTTCGTATATGTTTACTGTAAATGCGTTCGTACATAGACATAGATAATAGCGCCTATCTATTAAAAATGCAAACCGAGTAAGGAGTTCAATCAAAAAGTAAAGTAACCGCCCAAATATGGCCAATGGCTGAGTACGAGTATATGCATGTGTGCTGTCCTGATGCGTTTGTTCTCTTTACTTAATTATGATTAAGTTTTTTGATTTGGATTTTTTGATTAAGATTGAAGTTTGAATTAAGTAATAAAGTGCATGTTATTAATTTATATTATTATTTAATGATGAGATTCTTAAAATAAAACAAAATTGGACAAAACCCTTACTTTATAACAAAAATCTTTTCATTTAATTTAGAAATAGCTTTGAAAATTTATTTTTAATGAACACGATGACAACTTAAATCAAATAGAATAGAATTTAATTAGTTGAATGTAATCTATCAATGCACAGTCCAAACCACTCGGCGAGGACAGGAGCTACAAGGTTAAGATTAGCTACTAGTAAGGTTTTATTACTTCATCATTTAACACTCATACTTTTATTATAAAATGAATGATATGATTTAAAAAAAAATACTAAAAATCGAGTTTGCATCAAAACTTTAAGAGATAGAAGTAAAAGTATGATTACCTTGACGTAGACATCCGTTGAGAAAGGATTTAGGAAAATTTCACCCCTAAGAGGGTGAAATAGTGTGTTATAGTTTGTATGAAAATTTTTGTTTTACGGGGCGGTTGACGGCGATTTAAGAGCTTGTTCAATTTTGTATCGAGAAAACATATTTAATGCTTTAAAACAATATAATTTACCCTTACATGTTTGAAACTTTGAAACAAGGGTGCAAATTTAGTATAAAATATTGTATTTAGACGCACAGTTCAATCCGCTGGACGTAGGAGCCTGAAAATAGGACAATAAATTCCTTTATACACTTAGACAATGAAATATGGTGTTCCGGCTTTTAACAAACTCTTTTAAAGGGGCGATTTCAAAGGTTTACGGAGAAAAATTATAAAATGATTTTTGTAACTTGAAAATGAGTACTCATACTGTTGGATAAATGAATTAAATACTTTTTTTATGTTACGAAATCTTAACTTAAAGTGATAAGACGAGAGTGCGTGAAAAATATAATTTTAATTGCATGGTGGTGGGAAAATTGGTAAAACGATATTATGATATTTATGAATAATACATATTTTAGAATTTTACAAAAATCTGCGCCTATTTACCCCTTATGAGTAGGAAAAAAGGTATACAAAACAGTAAAGTTGTCTATTTATTATATTACTGAAATATGCAACTAGATGGCGATAGTGCTCAATTAAAACAAGGTATTGTTACCACCATAGGTTATATTAAAAGGTTTTAAATATAATTTTATAAATTTTTGAATGCGTTATGTTTTGTATAGGTTAGTATTATTGCAATTTGCAACTAGATGGCGTTAGCTCTGAATTAAAACAAGGTTTTGTTACCACCATCACCATAGGTGATATTAAAAGGTTGTAAATATAATTTTCATTATTGCAATTTGCAACTAGATGGCGTTAGCGTTGACTTAAAACAAGGTTTTGTTACCACCATAGGTTTATACTTTATATTAAAAATTTTAAATTTTAATACCAGCCACGCCCCTAATTCCAGCCTATTCGGCCTTTTACTTCGTAAATAAGATTACTTCGTGAATAAGATTTCTAGCAGTCTTATCTACGAATATTGTCGGCTAAAAAATTCTTCGTATCTAGAGGTTTTGAGATTTCAAGCACAGTTATAAATCTAAAAGTGTTAAATTAAAAATAAAAACAACACGCACGCAACGGAAAACGCTCATTTCCCTAATTTTTTGACAAGTTATGGTCCCGATACAATTAAGCATGTTTTACATTAGCTCATCTTTAGACTTTTTGTTTTATATGAATGTGACTATATACATAGTAATGCAGCTCTTTATGTTTTGTTTTTTTTCTATTTTCTCAAAGTGGATATCAATGGGACTGTAATTAGATATACGAAATGGATGGAGTGCATAATGTTAGCCGCCAGGCTGAGTTGGGTTTGACGTACATAATAAGAAGTACCTAATTTCAGCCACGTAACATAAATCAGGGCTGTCATAAACTGGAATAAATACCATTAATTAGAACATCACTTATTTTATAGTTAAGGAAGTTATGATCAATTCGTCTATATTTTTAGATTGTTATTTTAATTAAAAGTTTAGCAAATGATACATACCTGCATATTCTAGCGTGTCTAATGCAGTGGCCGAAAACTACAATTCTTGTGTGCTAAAATTTAAAATTTAGGGCCGAAAACTAGCATTTTACATATTTTTCACATCAAAAATGACTATAAAAAAGAGATTTTTCTTGTAGCATCAATGAATTACAAAAATGAAAACCACATTATGTAAGCTACAAATTAACATTAACAGTACTAGGCCAGCATAAATGCAATTATTTTTTCTAGTAGGTATCTTAAAGTCAGTAGTGTAGCGTGCCTACCCCGTATCAAAATGTGTTGGGGGGCCCAAATGAAGAGTAAAGATTTTTCACAAAAGGAACAAAAACGGTCGCATTGAATTAAAATAATTATATATTGAATATAAGTTATTATTTTTACAATGAATACTCCTAGGAACTAAGCTAGCCAAACAATTCAAATGAAAATAAATATATACTTTACTTGCTTTTTGTTCGGCGAACTTATTTACTAAATCATTCATAGCTGAAGACGATTTCAGTTTTTCAAAATTTTCTGCCTCTATAGACAATAGTGTCAAGTCTGATAGCTTGTCCTTCCATAGAAGTCCTTAGAGCTTTTGCTTATAGACGTTCGTTTCCCTGCAGCCCGGGGCCCCCGTATCACTGATACGGCTGTTACGGTGGTAGCTACGCCCCTGCTTAAAGTTAACAACTCCAGTAAAAGGCCGAAAACCAGCGCCACGATTCTACTTGTATTTCTATCAGACATTTGGTATGTGTTAAGAACACCATACAATATTTAAGAATTTTTTGAGAAAGACAAAAACAAACAATAAATATAATTAACTATAACTTAGTAATACTAATTTTACTATAACTTAAGAACATAAATGAAAAAACCTTCCTCGGTTGAATCTAGTTTTATTTTTCATTTGCTTGTAGTATGAGACATAATATACATACGTAATTTTATTTGCATTTTGTTAATGTTCTGGGTTCGTCTACAGTAGCATCCAAAGAAAATAACACGATATGTAAAAATGTAATAGGTACTAGAGTGTTACCGACGCGGGCATATAGATGT